CGATGTTACTCTGAGTGCATATCCACACCGGGCGAGCTTGAAAAATATGCCCGGCCACGGTGGGATCCCACCGTGGCCGGGCATATTTTTCAAGCTCGCCCGGTGTGGATATGCACTCAGAGTAACATCGCAAACATAGGATCAATAAAGTTAAATACTTGCTCGCGACTCATTGCAAGGACACTAATATATAACGTATATATCTACGCCTGCTCAGGCGTTCACACTAGCCTTATAATTAATGCGTAGCTGCGTGTTAGTGTGTAAGGGAATTAATACGCAGGTAATATACTACAAATATTCGAGTATTTTAGGTTTAAAAACTGCATCCGATATAGTAAACAAACCGAAGGGCGAAGGCCTCCAAGTCACAAATGTTTAAAGATTTTAAAACCTCCGTAATCAGGTTATATGGTTCAACCAATACGCAGGTAATATACCAGAAACATTTGAGTATGCTAGGTTTCAAAATTCAAAGAATACTCTATAAGACAAAAAATTCCTCTCACAGAGTTAGCGCTCCTTACCTGGCGGCCATTTTGACTTGAGCTTGCGATCCATTTCAGGTCAGCGGTTCACTTCATGACGAAGGAAGCGAAGAATTTTTGCACAGAAAATTAGGGAACCTAAAGTAAACACTCGGCCTTACGGAAAGTGTAATAATATATCGCTGTATATTTGCATTTCTAATAGTCGCTTTGTATAAATTGTTTAAGGTCAAGCATAAATTGTAAGAAGCTATTAGTTTATATACTAGAAGTTACTATCGCAAGGAAAATGCTGCCTCACCCCCAAGGGATCAAAGGCAAGGGAGCATACGCCATTTGCTGAATAAGGGCTGTTTATACGGATCCCGCTTAAACCACTTTGCCAGGACGAGATATAAGGCGCGATGATTTTGTGAAAAACTTTATTTTCTAGAGATGGATTATAGTTAACTGTAATGGAAAGGTTGTTCAAAAAGCTATAAAAATCTTGAACTGCATGATCTTCTCTACAACATTTGAGTTCGGTTATAGCCAGCATTTGAACTTTCGTTTAGCCTAGTGACTTATTTCAATACAACAAAATCATCCCAACTTCCATCATGTAAACAGCCCAGAGTATGCCCGTTTACAGGTTAGGTGCTGGGCATGACCTAACTTGCGAACGGGCAAACTCTGGGTACGAGATTGCTAATACGCCTGTTCAGGATGCAGGAAAAGACTGAAAAATGCAATTTGAATATCAAACACCTTGCACAAAGTCGAAGGTCAGCTAAATATTCTAATTCTACTTTCTTGGCATGGGTTTTTTTATGAATCCGGCTATAGCTTCACCATTGACAGTATAATTATACATACAAAAGCAAGAAGTTATAAGCATTCAAGGGCCATTATTACACTAAACTCGATCTACATAAAAAAACAAAAACAAAGAACTTAAAAGAAAACTTAAACTTCAAAGAACTTAAACTCTACATGTCCAATGATTCATTCAGGTATTATCAATGTTGATATATATGGCAATATGACATTGTACAGTATTCAGTGGCAAGCTAGCCATGGCAACTGGACCTGGTCATGCTATGCTAATAAACCTGCAAATTATTAAAATCTTGCATAACATGACTTGTTGCTACAATTTCATATACTTTACTTGTATTAAAATTTGCGCAGCACTAGAATTCGCGCAGCGCTTAGTAATGTGCGAAATATAATCCGCGCGAAAAGCTTTGTGATGTAATATGAGACACCGGTTGTTAGTAATGCAAATCAGTTGATTTATTTAACGCACATCTACACATTTAACATATCATATGTTTTAAGTTGTCCTGTCAATATTAAAAATAAAAAATGTTTTCCTCTCGGACAATTTCAGTCGGGATATTCTCAGGTTCCACGTAGCATTCCGTTACGAATGCCTGCATTTTGCCACAGACCTCAAACATTGTTGTCAAAGCCTCAAAGGTGGCAACGATCATGTGTGAGCGCCGCATTGAAAGTGCCACAACGAAAAGAGGATCCATTTGAACTCTAGCTAAACATATTTGTGTGTTTTGAGATATATTTGTGCGTTTGAAACATATTTGTGTGTTGCACTTGTGGGCCACCGTAGTATGAACCTATAATATATGGGAATGCTAATAAAAGATTTGTGCTATTGTATTAGGCAAATGGGAACCATACAATAAATGTTTTAGCTTTATCACATAATTTTGAAACCATTTTTTAGGCCACCTAATCGCTTTTTGAGTTATGTTTTGATATTGAACAAACCAAAAAGAACGAACACGGAAAATTTCTTGCCCGAATTTAAAGCTGCGCGAATATGAACAAGGTGCGCGAAATTAAATCGCGCATGAATACGACGCGATTGTTGTTTTAATGGTACCTTCAAGGCTACCCCTATTGCAGAACAACCGAACAATCTGCTGATGAGAAGACAAAATCTATGTTGACATTTTTGTCTGCTTCAGATGACCATTCATTTGTAATGATTAAGATTGTAGAAAGAAATTCTGAGCAGGTGAATATATGAATGTAAACCGGTATATTACATATAATGCTAACCAATGGACATATCTCAGATACTAAATGTACAATAAAATAACATTTTACTCCTTGTATAAATATAAAGACGATCAATGGGCTATTAGAACTGCAAATTCATAAAATCATATTGGTTTCAATACCTCTATATCGAACACAAAACAGCAAATCTAAATATAAATGCCTTCATGTATATCAACAGAAAGAAATAAAGCTATATCCGCCATGAATTATTCAAGATATTGTCGATGCTTTGCATCGTATTAAACTGTATTAAATCCTGAGAAGAATCATGCGGAGCGCAATACAAAATAAAATCGAATCAAAATCGAATAAAAACAAAGAGTCGTCGAATGCTCGAGCTGACGACAATTTCCGAAAAATCTTGGCATCCGACGGACTGACATGGATTCAGTATGTTTCCCCAATATAACTCGGCCGGGGACTGGGCACGAAAAAGCAAGAACGTCATGTAACGTCAAGAATAGGGAGCTGCCTCGCTACGCTCGGCAGCAATTACAGTAAAAGACCACAAGTTTAAAAGCTGATGGCTCCTGAAAAAACGGCAAATGAATTAATAATTGGCGTAGTACCGACCGTAGCTGCGCAAGTTTAAAAATTGAGGGTTCAAAGGTCGCGTTGCTATCTGTAAGAATTATTATTCCCTTGGGTCAACACCTCATAATTGTCAAACGGCATTTTATTTCTATATGGTCTGTTTTACGTGTCTATCATTTGTTGTCGGAGTGGTGAAGGGGTCAATTAATCCATCAAAGTAACAATTAAAAAACTTTAAAGGTTAAACAATATATAACACAAGATTAGAAACTCCGTCTATTAAGTATCAACTACAATTAATTTGTCAGGCACAAATCAAAATAAAAACCAAAGTCTTGCACAATAGTTTTGAATTTGAATAGTTTGAATAGCTGGAGAGTTAATGTCGTACCTTACTATGCGACTACTCACCCACCAGCTATTTAAAAAATGCACTGACACTCAAGGGGAGCTCAGATTGAACCTCCTCTCTTTGCGTGTGAGCGTGAGTGAGCTTTTAGATTACAGGCGTATGTGTCGATTAAACAGAGTATTATACATGCATGGGTGCGTGGAAATACCAGATTTATTTCGAGTGTTGAACATGATATATCTCAAGAGTGAGCGCAGATTGATCCACCTGTGAGTGCATGTGAGTGAGTTTTTAGAATACAGGCGTCAGTCTCTGGCACGCAAATTTACGTGTGTACACAATAGATGTAAATTCCGAAACCACCATTCCATTCTGCATGAAATTGTGTATAAACAGCCCTTGTTTGCCGTTTTCATTCAAAAACCGAACGGAGATATTCGCAATAAAACGCAACATGGCCAGAAATGACGGACATTGTGCAAGCGTACCAGTCGGTCAGCGGCTTTTCCGTTTATCCACAAGAATTCCTAATTATCCTTTTACGACCTATCAAAACATCCGGAATTTCAAATATTCGCGTGGGTGTTGTTTATAAAGCAAATCATGAAGTATGCACTCAAGTTGTGGCCTTTGGTTTACCAGGCTCAGGGTGTAGCTAAGCAATGACGTCGACTACGGGAACGAAAGGAGAAGCTTTCGACGAGTATTTTGGTGCCAAACATGTAGCAAGGCAATCAATATATATAGTTTGGCAAGCGAATGTAATATCACTTTTCGACCACGAAGTAATATTGTAATATGCATATTAACGCACCGGCAAAAGCAGAGCTTTTATCGGGTGTAACAAAATAATAAACGGCGGAAGGCAAGGCTATACTATTCGTCAAAATAAAATGATTTCAACAAATTTCGATAATTGAATATATTACGAGATATGGCCTTTTGAGCGAGAAACCTTTATAGATTCCTATGTAAAGTGAGGCAAAATGTTGTAATATTGAATCGCAAAAAGCAGAGCGAGTATGGAAAGAAATGAGAACTTTTTTTCTTAATATGTTACTATACCACCGATACTTCTGGAACCAATTTCAACAAATATTCAAAGATTTATATATAGCATGCTATATTGAAAATACTCTGCTCACCAGATAATAAACATAGGGCCTTGCGTAGCCATTGTTGCGTGGGTGCTCGTGGTAACGTGGAACTTGAGAAATGAAAATGTCCGTGATTTCTGGCCACGTATTCCCAAAATTAGGGTCGCGCCGTATGGTGAGCACAGTTTTGTGTGTACGCGAAATGGAAATTTTGAAAGCACCATTCTATGTAAGACACCCTAGTTTCCCTTTTTCAATCACAAACTGGGCGAAGATATTAGCCCTTCAAATATCCCATGAATCGAGTCTTCATATATACGGGAATTTTCAGAAAACACTTATTATCCTGTACTATACAGAAATCTGTGCGCACGGTAGATGGCAAATTGGAGAACACAATTAATTGAATTCGCCATAAAAATCGGCACCGTTTCATAGTAAAAATCTCTAGACAATTTAATAACAAAAATTTTATCGTGTATTTACCTCCCAGGTGACAATAGAATTCTATTTGGGTTCAATGGCTTTTTATCTCCGTGGCTCGAAACATTTAGCATGACCAATTTTGAAAGTCATTTGAGTTGGCTTAGCCACTGGAGTTAACTGCGATATAGTTCAATTTAAGACTGGGGAAATGTCATACCTTAAACGATAAGTCGTTTCAGCAGTTAAAAAGTGACTGTGTTAATGACGATGGAATGGTCAAGAGCAATAATGTGAACTCCCAATCATGTAAAGATCCTCACAATTTCTAAAACAGCTTAACGTAGGTATATTATAAGACTCTCGAAAATATTGCACTCCAATCAAACGGTTTCTATGTGAACGGATTTGTTCCAGAACTTTCAATTTTATCTCAAAGAAAAGCGGGAGATTCCCGCTTCTGGCAATTGACCAATCTCAATTGGTCAGGAGGAGTTCAGGAAGCCACAATCTCTCCAGAGGACCAAGAGCCTGAGAACTTCCACTTTCCTCCCACAAACCACGGAGGAACATGTGGTATTGTTAACTTCCTTAATACAGGGACAGCTGGGAACTGAACAGCCTGGAACACATGATGTTTAGGATGTTTACTGCATGTATTCTGTGACTGTGTCTGTGCTGTGCAATGTTGATACATTTATATGTATAAAACTTTTTTGCAACTTTGTCATTTCCAAAACCCTTTGCAATTTTCAAGTCTCTTCATTTTAAGATAGTTGACTTAGAAAGGAGTGTAATATTTAGGCGGTCCATGTCGGTCATTTTTTCAAACGCGGGATTTTTTCACCAGGGGGGCAATAAGGCCTAGTGCCGAAAAAAGTCCCAAATACCCAAAGAATAAATACTCATGTCATTCTAAAAATCGAAAATATAGTGTTTTTTGTTTATTTTTAATAATAATGAAAACTTTATTAAATGGATATTTAGCTTATATATACAATTGCAAATCTCACTTATTTAAGGTAATTTACAACTGGCTACTTAAATCACTGATTATATATACAAAAATTATACTATTAAGATAACAAAATGACAGTACAACGTTTAAACACTTAACAGTTCCGGATTCATCCATTCCTTGTTTCGACAACAAAATATATAATACGTTGTTCGGATTGCAATCATCGTCATTCTTCTAATACAGTAATTCTGATGTTGCTTTTGAAAACCAAAATCATTAAGCATTTCTATGAAAGTAGAACATTCTTTACTGAAAACACCAAGAGAACTAATCGAAAGATTTATAAATTTTACTGAGTTGAAATG